ATCTCATAGAGATTAACTCAGAATTTTCATTTATAAGATATTCAAATTTCGAATAAAATAAATTTTGAAGAGAATACACATCTTCATTCTTTGATAATTTTTTATTTTATTTTATGCTATGTTTACTTTTGTTTTTAGTGTTATGGATTAATTCAAAATGGTTGTGATCCATATCTATTCACATAAACTTTATTCGTTGATGTATTCCTATCGAAATAGATTATTCATTTTCTTTCCGGTTCTGTACACAAAAACACTAATTGATTGTCATTTGTTGTCAGTTTAGATACTGTATGACATAGTGATCAGTTTCTTTTCTCTTTACTAACTCTTTATAGGTACTATTTTTTCGATTCGTTTCATTTTTTTTCACTCGTTCATTTCTTATTGTACATTGAGTTCGAAATCTTGTATGCGTCAAAAACGAAAAGTGTATTCTTGCCATTGTATGTTAAGTCTTTTTTTTAGTAATGTAAACATGTACTATCCTACATCACAAACTAAAAGAGATCGAACAAAAACCATCTTTTATTCTAAACAAATATTAATATATGTAGATAGAATGTGAATAAACATAACTTGAAAAATTGACATATTTTTTAGTATTAATGTATAAAAAGACCATATGAAACAAGGTCGTGATTGGCAATGACAATTTCTATTCAATTCGACAACTTGTTCTAACTCTTCGTCTACGCTCTGTCTAACTAAGCAGAACCGTGCTTGACCAAGATTAAGCAGAGAATTATTTGAACACACAATGATCGAACTATTTTTACGTTTTCATATATTTTACATAGACGGACGTCATTTATTTTAAATAATGTCGCAAAGAAATGGCAGTAGTCAAGCAAAAAGCGAACATTTTTTGTGCAAAAATGCAGAAAAAAAGGTCTTATTCTCTCTTATCATATTTTGAACACGGCTACATTATTTCAAAAAATGAAAATAGTAATAGTATCATTAGAGATTGTGGGTCAATGCATTGATCGGCGGCAACGACTGATATTGTTCAATGTATTTTTTCAAAATTTTCTTAATTTCGATAAATTTTGCAACAGAAAAAGAATGAACACGATAATGGAGAACTTATTGATACGAGACCAAACGGCAACGTATTCCAAAACTGATTTGAAACGTTAGAAATTTTTGTATCATGACAACTAAAATCTTCATCAACTATTTCGAATAACGACGACTCAGTTGATAGACTTAAATCTCTAAGTGACATTGAAAGTTGATCTATAGTTTGACATTAGTGGGTCAACTTCTTTTGTTATCAAAACTGTAAAAACTATGCTGCTTTAAGGAAACTAAACACACATCGCTGAATACATTACCACAATATTTTGATGATCACTCGTTTCCAATATAAACTTCATCATCATGATGACTTTTGTCTTAGCTACAAATGAAAATAAAAATAGTTTATTCAGAGCGAGAAAACTTCCAGGAACGTGAATTGTTTTTTGAATAGCTCTAATGAAAGAATTGCTTTTTGAATCAGTGCATTACCACGATTTCTTATTATTCTTGTAAAGTCGTCACAGTTCAACCGAATGAAATGAAGGTTTCAGTTAAAATAGAACTTTCATATATCTTGCTCTAATGTAAGTTTCAGATATTTATCATATTAAGATGCTAAATTATGACAATTTGAAAGTCAAAAATATGTGAGTGTAAATCTTTTAGAATTGAATTCAAATTTTGAACTGATTCAATTAATAATGATTACTTTTAGATTGTTTTCTTTTTGAATTAACAATGATTATTTCAAATAGATAAAGTTCAATTAATCATTGTTATATAGACAAATATCTGACTTTTATTTATAATATCAAAAAATCTGACGAATTTAACCGAAGAAATATATCCATAAATGAATTCAAAACCACATTTTAATCTATAGAATTTGCATTAATAAGGACGTAGACATATAAACATTTAATAAAGACTCATCGACGAGTTGGAATCTAGAAACAACAGATAAAAATATTTATCTATATGATAATAACATACTCGTTTAGACGGACGGCGTTTTTGAATAGGATCATTGTTTTTATTTCGACCTATGTCAACAACAGTATGGCTTCTATTATTCTTTCCAGTTTTAGGCGTTGATGTTACAATCTTAAATACATTAAAAAAAGTAATGAATAAATAAATATGTGATTATATTACTCGTGGCAATCCATTAATATGTTTAATATTTTCTATTTGCGTAAAATCAAGTGTATCTTCATCAATTTCATCGTGACGACTTTTGCTAACTTGTTGTTCCACTGTTTGTTTCACAACATTTCGTAGAGATTTTTTTCGAATATTATTTTTCGATAATGTACGTTGAGGAACAGCAGTTGAACTAATCGATGATGCTGACACCTATATAAATTATATTATAAAAAAAGAAAACAATAAGAAATATTATTAATTTACCGTCTTTGAAATTGTTGTTGGAGGATTACTAACAGTTGTCGCTGTCATATTTGATGTACCGATAGATTGCTGTTCAATAATTTGACGAATTGGAATATCATTAATCAAAAATTGTTCATTTGTATGTTCTTTTTCCCATTGTTCTAATATATTTAAACACGTCCGTTCAGCTTTTGGTAAAGCAATAGCAAATCGTTTGCGTTCAGCTTGTTCTTTTACAGCAGAATAACCACGTTCATGAAAACGTGCCGCTGAACTAGATTTTTTCTATCAAAGTAAAACAAAACAAAAATAATAAATTGATTAAAAATATAAAAAGAAGATTGCAATCAAGTCATACTTGAAATTCACCACGTTGTTGCACAAGCACTTTCCATTGTTCAAAAGCATTAAGTATAGGTTTTCGAACATGATACATATCATCCAAACGATCATACTCTCGATCACATTCATCAAGAGTTTCAGGTGTTACGTTTTCTATATGTTGAAGATATTTAATTTATGAAACAAAAAAGAAATAATGTTTTCGTCTCACCAAAATCAATAGGACGACGTTCAAAACTGCCTATTTGACATTGTTCATAGAGTTCTTCAATCTTTTTTCGCATACTTTCGCAATATGCTTGACTAGTAGCCATTCTTTTAGCTTGTAATTGGGCAATTTCATTTTCTAGCTAAAGTAAAATAAAAATAGATTAATACGAGTTACATTAGACAATGTATATATGATGCGATGATAATGACGATCAGAAATATCGATCCCACTCGAAGATTCTTACTGTCAAAATAGCCACCAAAGTATAGAATCAAATAATTGACATGAGTCCTATATAATGTCTATTGTCTACTGACAATTTCAATTATCAAAATGTTACTAATACTTTCTCCTCTTGGTTTCTATCAAGAATTGTTTTTTTCTAAATATCTTTGAAAGATACAAATGGCTGTCTTAATATGACTACTCTGAACTGTTATGATTCACGATGATCACAGATGAGATTTTACATCAATATGCTACAGATATCGAGTGTAATTTTGACTAACAAGGGAACATATGCAACTGTCGGACGCCATTCAACTCCATATTCTGCCTGTGAGTAACGCTCAGTGAGATCAAAAAGACGCTAAAAGAATTTTTGCTCACGGCATGATCAGAAGGAGATCTCATTGCCACATAGATGTAAGAAAATGGAATGTTGGGTGTGGGTATTAGTAAAAAGAAGACATCCAGATCATCTTCGTTTTTTGACTGAATGAGCCAAACTGATAGCATCAAATAGAAGTTCAATAGTTAAAATTTCAGTCCTCACCCTCTTAAAGTAAAAAAATTCAATTTCCTTTGTCTCACTGAAACCCAAGAGATTATTTAAAAAAAAACACACCTGTTTCACTGTTTCTGCAGTATTGTGCCGTAAAATATAAGCAGCTGATCGTTTTGGTGGCGATGCATCATCTCTTGCAAGTTTTGCATATAATTTTTCCAAGTTTCCTACAAGTGTATTGACATATTTTTCTTGTTCTTCAGATTTACATTCAAGCTATATGAGAAAAAAAAATTAATCATCAAATGAATATTATTAACTAGAACATACTTTATTAAGAAAAGATTCGATTTGACCAAGAGAATCTGTCGTTAAACAAGATTCATATTTCTCATCAATTAATTGACATATTATTGATAAATTATCTGGTTTAACATCAAGTCGATTACATAAATCATTAAGTCGAGTTCGATAGGATTTGATTGTTGTAAGTCGTTCAGTCTAAATTAAGGACAGAATAATTCATAATGTTATTCTTTAAAAATACAAACTTTTATTTTGTTTAATGTATTTATATGATTTCGTAAACGTTCAATTCTTTTAACTAAAGTTTCATCTAAATAAAAGGATTATTATATTTAGAATAATTTCTTTCATTATTTTATTAACCTGTAATAATTTCCATTTGTGTTTCTGTTAAAATTTGACATAAAGAACGTTCATTTTGAGATAATTGATCTAATTCTTTAATATATTTTTCTTCTTTTACATCTAATTCTTGATGTTTTTTTTCAATAAATAATTCTTTTTGTTTTAATTTCATATTTTCAAATTCTTCCTTTAGAAATCAATATTTAATATATATTATAAAGGTAAAAAACGACAAATTTTAATATTTACTTACACTAACATCATTTTCAAATCCTGTTCGACTTAATCGATGTTCATATTCACGTAATGTTTCAAGTAATAATTGTTCACGTTTCGTTATGTCTATGGATTTTTTTGTTCGTATACGATCTAATACAAACTTTAAAAAAGACAAAATAAAATTCAATCATTTAGAATTTATTACTAAATTTAAAAGACAAACTCGTGAAAATTGTTCAACTTTATTATTTCTTTTAAGTAATTGTTCATGATTAAAACCAAGTTGTTTCATCCATTGATTTGTCCATCGATCAATCATTAATGAATCAATCGGTAGAGTTTCTGTCATTATTCTATCTACAAGAAATAGTTCATCATTTAATAATCATAGCAAAAAATAAACAAATATATATATATATGATTCTTTTTTTTTCAAGTTGATTTCATATGTGAAAGTATATGATAAAGTAATCGAGGGATAAATCGACGAAGGTAAATAATAACTGATGCCAAATATCCAACATAAATTTCATGTTCTCTATTAGCAACACCACAAAGTATATCATATGCACATTTCGTTGGATCAGTTCCTTTATCAGTTTTTGGATCCATTTTTCCATATGGTAATCCAGAACCATCCAAAGCATTTTGTGATATTGCTGTTCGAATAAAACCAGGACAAACAATGGTAACATCGATATGATCACGAACATGTTCTAATCGAAGAGCATCAAAAAAACCATGTAAAGCATGTTTAGAAGCTGCATATGATGAACGTAATGATGTACCAACATAACCCGCTGCTGATGTTACAACAACAAAATGCCCTTTTTGACGTTCGATGAAATGCTAAAAAGTTTACGTTCAATATAAACAAATGAAAACATTTAAGGATGTGCAGAATTCGTGTAAATACTGGCAAGAAATCACCGGCACAGGATCCACTAAGACACTAATGAAACTAGTATTGATGTTCACTGAAACACTGACATCTGTGTTCGACGCAATATTGAGATACAAATTGTATTACAATACATTCTCTTTGTACTGGTGTGTTCCAGCGTTCACTAGAATGGCAACAATTTGTGCGAAAAAGTATCGAAAGAAAAAATGTCGAAAGATGTTTATTTTTAAATTCTGGACCACTGAGATGAAAATGTTTTATTGTACACAAAAAAGTGAGAGACATTTAAGTATACCACCAAGAAATAATAGTCAATAAAAAATACTTAAGAACAAAATTAAAGACAAGACAAGACGATTCTTTATATGGATGAGTATTCCTATAAGGTTTGCGTATGGATATGAGACTTCTCTTCACATCTGTCTCTACACTTACACTCATATCCCATACTCCACCTTTAACAGAGTCACTTAATGATGCTTGGAACATTTTCGACATTTTTTCTTTCGGTCAAATTGATACATATACCGTACACTAACTCTATAGACAATGGAATGGCTTCAACTGATCAATCACTTTCTCACCAGAAGCTAGTGAATTGTATGTTATCGGTCACGCTAATTTCAAATGTCGTGATAAGATATTCTAATTAAGGTCTTCATATGCTGGTTTTTTACATTACCAAACCTTTCGCCAAAAATGATTTTTCCTATATCTAGATTATAGAATATATTGAATCGTCTAGACAATACAAAGTTTTTCTGCTTCAAAATCATTTTCTTTCTGCAAAAAATACTACCATTTTAGCTCATATGACAGATATTTATCAACATTTCAATGTGAAAATCTTCAAGATAATATTATTTTGCTTAAGACTCATTTTAGGAAAACAGAAAAAGATTGTTGCCTTATAGACAACTTGATATGCTCTATAATCTGAGTGGCTCGAAAAAGGGTTTTCACAAGATGATTATTATTCAAGAAAATCACTGTATGAAGATGTAAAAGGATTTCTCATGGTCGATAACATATAATTCATTAGCTTTCAGTGAAAAAACGATTGATCAGTTGAAAAAATTTTCTCGTGAGTCGATAGTCAGTAAACTGAAAAATGGATATTCCTAAAAAAGTATATTTACCTGTAGAACTGTTTTACTCAATGTAATTGTACCCAAAAAATTAATATTCATTAATCGTGCATCAACTCTGTATAGAGTATCTCGAATAAAACTTCGTTGTGATATACCAGCATTATTGATTAAGACATCAATTTGACCGAACCGTTCAATAACAAGATCGACTTTGGATTTAAAACAATCGTATTGTAATTCAAGATCAAGTGGTAAAACAAGACAATGATCGACATCAAGATGAAGTTCATCGGCAAGTGTTTGCAATTCTGCTTCTCGTCTTGCTGATAGAATGAGACGTGTAGATGGTGAAAGACGAGTCAATTGTTTCACTAGTTCACGGCCAATACCCGACGAAGCTCCTAATATAAGAAGAAAATATCATCAATAAAAAATAATCAGTTAGAATTATTATTGATCCGGATTTGAAATAGATTTGTATTAAATCTGATTTTTTTCGTTTGAACTATCGAAAATTTATATTAAAACATTAAAAAATCGAACTTTTAGTGTTCTACTTGATTCTAAAAATCTTGTTGAGTTTTGTCTTTTAGAATAAAAGATATAACTTCTAACTTAGAAATTTATCGAAAGCCAATCAATTACACCTGTAGACTAAAAACAGACTTTTTATTAAAAAAACCATATAAGAATGCTTGAAACTAGAGTTTTATCTGACAAAGATCTTCAAGAAAGATCATTGTTATTGTGGTCACCAACGTTGAATGAGTTATCATGGCTTACTCTGTTTTAGACTGATAGGTTTCATTTAAATCACTCAACATAGTGTTAAATAGTAAATGATATATTCAAAATGTCCTTATCATCTCCAATCTAATTAACATTGACACCAAATGAAAAAAATTCAAGTAAAATCTGAAAACCTAATTGCATAATATTATATTTTTCCTTCTTAAAAAATACTTATAATCTGACTTTGTTATTTGTAGAATAGGTCTGCATCGCATCTGAACTCTGGCTCAAATGATTATTTATTCCATTTCGCGTAGATCTCTCATAGTCAAGCCAGAAATATTCTCCTTTGGCTTACTTCTACTTTCTTCTTTTAGCCGACGGAAAAGAATCATAACTAAGACCGAAATCGAATATTCACGTTCAGTGGATGCTTAATGTAAAACGAGCAAAACAAAAAATTGTCTATTGATTTAACAAAAAGAATATCAGTAATTAAAAATACAGAAAATAAATCTATTTCGACATATATCTTTTCTTGAATTTGAATACGTTTAACTAATTTCAATCCGATAATTACTCAAACGGCTTCAACTTTCTTTTCTATCAAGAAACAATATTAATGTAAGATACATGTAAGGGTTGAAGCCAATATTGCTGAACTATATATATATGATAGCTTACACTCATCAATTTACACTTTAAAAAAAAGTTTTACACCGAACTCTTCTGAGTTCGGCAGAGACTGCAATAACTTTTAGAGATCTATAGAATGAAAAACGGTTCCGTATCCCCAAACTACAAAACCTTAAATGTTTAGCGTTATATGTTGAATAATTCGTGTCGACCTTAACTAGTTTCATACTTTGGACATCGAATCTTTTGTCGTCCTACAGATCTCAAAAAGGTTTTGTAGCAAAGGTTGCAAGAGTGTATCCGAATGAACAACCATTTTAGATTTCGCACACTTTAAAAACCAAGAGTTTTCTCTGAAACCGTTCAGATTCCCGATTTTATCATTATCCCTAAACTCTTGAAGGGTTTTTGAAATTTTGAAAGCTCATTTTTTTTCCTTTGAAAATATTTTAAAATGTTTCCGAGATCAGCCCGAAAGTCTATTTTAGTCGGTTTACGAGAAAACTTGTTTGTGTTAGAGTGTAGCCTCTGCTGAACTTAAAAAATGATCCGGTATTAGAATGATTTCTTTAGAGTAGTTGATAGACATTTTTTATTTGTATATAATTCGAGTATACTGGTCAATTTATAATGGACTTTCGGCATTTACGAAGATTCTATTACTGAAAGTCTGGTTGGCAAAATTCCGGAATTTCTATATGACTTCTTATAAAAAATTCATTTTTACTTACCCGTAATCCACACAACTTTATTTTGAAAATATTTCTCAATATTATCATTCAAAGGAAATAGCCAATATGCCACCAATATAATGATACCGAAATAAAGAAAAACTTGAAAAAGAATTGCCAAATACATTATTCTACAAATAATAACATAATGGCACGCCTTTAGTTTTTTTTTTACTTCACAAAAAAATTCTTGTTTATTACACAAAAAAAAATACTAATCGTTTACATTACATAAATACAAAACAAATATATTTATGAATTAAGTTTATTTATAAATAATTGGATTTGATTAAGATCAGTTGTTAATTGATCAAAAGAACTTTTTATTGTATTATATTGTTGATTATTTTCTTTTAATTTTTTATTATTACGTAATTGAAGAAATTGATTTGCACGTTTATTATTCATATTTAATAATAATTGTTGTTTACGAAATTTTCTTCGTTGACGATAATTTAAAATCCAAAGAGAAAAATATTTTAATTGAAGATAATGTTCGCGTTTTTGAATATATTGTTTTTTAAGAGCATTTTCGAATAATTTTTTACGTAAATCAAGTTCTTGATTAGATTCAATAACGATTGAATGTAATTCTTCTTGTAAAAATTCTTCAAAAAATAAATTTGATAAAAAGTGAACTTTTTTTAGATGATTTCGTTTTAAATATCGTCGATATTTTAATAAATCATTTGTTTGGTCTAATGTTAAATCATGTTCAGTCATTAATTGTATACCAGTTAAAAACTCAAGTAATTGTTCATTGTTTAAAAAATGATATTTCATTTGTAATTCATTAAGATTAAAACGTTCTTCATTTGCTTGAATTGAATTTTCTAACCATATGGAAAAATATTTTTTTGTTAAATATTTTTTTCGTTTTCGTTCATATTGTTCAGCTAAAGTGTCATTTAACATTTTTTGATGAAATTCAACATCATTATAATAATCATCAGCTACAGAATAAATTTCATCGAAAAGAAATTCATTTAAAATTGTAACAGTTTGACTTGCTCGATGATTCCATTGAGAAATTAATTCACTATAAAGAAAAAGAATAGTTCGGATTACTAATCTTGATGGTTTTTCTTTAATAGACAAGCTTCACTATCTGTCTTTGTAATCCGAAGACTTTCACTGATTCAAAAACTGTTCTATATGACTAAATTTAGTTTGTTGCCTTTTAGATGACAGAGATGGAATCAGTTCGCATTTTATTTTGAAACTGAGCTTATCTATTTTTTTTAACTACATAGTATGTAGGTTAAGCCCGTAATCAGGACTCTTGAGTGGAGCAGCTTTCCTCCCCTTCAAAACATCCAACTTCCTGACAATTTCTTACAGCTTTGTAGTAACTTTTCACAGAACTCGATTTTGAAACACTCTTTGCTTTTCGTTGGCAGAAAGTAAAATAAAAATAAGCAGATGATATTGTTGTCGAGTGAATAGGATTGAGCGAGAGGCAGGGAACGATAGGTTTTGTGCTTTCCCTGGTTACCACTTCTAGCACTCCAAGAATGTAATCACTTTCTGCCGAATTTATAGTCTCTCTTACTTCAAAAAAAAAAGATATCGACTAACTCGTCCATGGTGTGAAGCACATGCCCAAATTGGACTCATGATTTATGAGGTTATAAAACTTTCAAATTAGTAGAAATATGAAAATCAGTGAATAAAATATTTCCATATTGTACAAAATACGACGATGACTTTAACGCACATTTAATTACATACACCATAAACTGATTATCAGGAAATAAACTGGAGTTTTGTAGTAACTGAAAACCAATAAATATTGTATCAAAAACTTTTGGAGTGTGTAGTGCTCTACTGCACGAGTTCTTGACTAAGTTTACAGTCATTTTTTTTAATCTTCTATTCATTTTGATTCTCTAACACAGACGAAAATAGAATGCAGATGTCTAGAAGATCTTCGAAATGACGAAAACTTCAAACAGTGGCAGCAACGTTTGATCGGATGAACATTCATTGTTGCTCCTAAAACTCGTTTTTATTCAGCTTCTTTCTTCGTGATCTCGAAAAAAAACAGAGTTCTCACTTCAAAAATGTCATTTTTTGAAACAAATCGAAGACAAACGAAACACGGAACTTTGTAGCAACGTTTAAACGAGAATTGTACGACCATTACGATATAAAATAGCGATTTCGAGTTATATGCCGCAAAAGAAACTCGCAACCGACTACTGTGCGATGCTTTGTACCGTAAAAACTTCAAACCGATCCGAGTGGAAATTGAATAGACAAGCTAATAAATGCATTATATTACCAAATTTAGATAGAATCAGTTCGTATTTTTTGAAGCCGAATCCATCTCTACTAGATTATATGAGATAGCTGTGGAACACATTCAGAATCTTTATAATTGATATTCGAATACATCGTTTAATCAAAACTCCGGCGATTCAATATGAGAGTAAAACAGACGTTAGTACGAGAAAAATATGTTCCATCTTCCAAATAGATTCGTTTTAGTATAAATGGTGAAAGAAAGTGTTTTACTTTCGACTATTAAAAAGGACGAAAAAAACTGACTGTTGTCTTCGAAACAAAGGCTAAACATTTTCGGATTGATTTTGATTTGTAACAGACTTATAATATTTTTTCGTAGGAATCAAGGATGAAATCTAGAATTTATCTACTCTCGTTTTCTCTCAAAGATTTATTAACTCTAGAATATCTAAAAGTCTCTGAATTGCTTAATTTCTTCTTCAACATATGTACGAGTGCATTACATTGGTTTCTAATACTGATTATCGACGAAAATATGAGTGAAATCGAAAGTATACATTATTTGAAATCAAATTAAAATCATAGAATTCTTTGTTTTTATTTATCTTACTTGAAGATATTACAAATAGTTTCTTGAATTAATGGATCAATCATTTGTTGATATAGTTCATTAACAAATTTATCCATTGAGTTCGTTGACAATCGACGAGCTTGAGTAGGTAGAGCTGGCGGTTGTATTATTTGTTCGGGTGTTTTTGGTAATGGTTTTGAAACAGAAACAGATGGTCGAATCGTCTCAACAGGTAATGGTAAATGTTCAATAACTTTTGTCGGTTGATTTTCAGTTGAAAACATTGATTTAGGCAAAGATGGAAATCGAGCTGTTGTGTCGAAAAATTTTTTTGGTAAAGATGATTGAACAAAAGGATTTGTAAGACTTGAAAAAAGAAAATTTATCGATGGAAAAAAACAAAAGAATTTTATTATTTTACGTTGTACGTTCAACTGCTGTTGGATTTGAATTAAATCCTGTAAAACGAAATGGTGATGGTGTTGGTATTGTTGTTGTAGCAGTAACGAAAATATTTTCTGTTCGTACTGGTGGAGGTTTAAGTACCTAGAAAATTATTAAACATTGATTTTCTTAACAACAACAAAAAATCATTATATAATACAAATGTATTTGCTGTTGTTGTTGCTGCCAATGATCGTAGAGCACTTTCAGAAAGTTGACGTCTACCAAATGACGACGATTGAGATTTTGGTTGTTGTTGTGGTTGCGGCTGCGGCTGCTGTTGTGATTGTTGTTGCTCTGGCGAAGGTTTTCGAGAAATTATCGTAGCTAGAATTTAAAATTTAGAGAAAAAAGAATTCTTTTTCTAAATTTCTCTTTACCTAATTTATCTGAATCGATAGGTAATTTTCCAATAAAATGTCCTTGAATATCAAAACTATCTTCAACATTTATATCAGGAATAACAATTGGTACATCCGGCTGTCCAGTAATAATCTTTATGAAATAAAATAATTTTCGATGAATAGTTTCTTTTTTTAAAAACTTACATCTTTTAAATTTCCTTCATATTTTGATTTAATTAGTTTTTGAGACAATTTATTAATTGGTTGTTGTTGACTTTGATTATCTATTGATGGTATAATAAAACATGGTGGATTTGTATTTGATATTGAATATCCAAGTTGTTCAAGATAATCTTTTGTTTCATCATCATTATCCATTCCAAGAATATCTGTTATATCTGATAAACGAAATTCATCATTAT